CTGTACGTCTGAAAATCCACTTGTTTCTTTCCTCCCCGGAATAGCAGTCGTGAGACACATCAGTTTGTCTTGTGCAGGCACAAAGGCGGCAGTGAGAACATGCAGCCCTGGAAGACCCGAGATGGAGTGGGAAAGAGGTGAAGCGCTCCCTCCAGCAGTAAATCACAAGTACGCTAGGCTTCTGCACCCTAGTTAAGTCGATCTAAAACTTTAACACTCCTGAGAAGGTAGGCAGTGGCTATTACAAATTAAAAACATGACTGACTTTTTTATTTTAAAGAAAGAATTCTTTGGAAACTTTTTGAAACACCAATATATAGTCTGCAAACAAACTGAGGTTTGGCAGCAACTTGCCTTGACATCACAAGTTTGCTCCCACTCTGTATCTGAAGGGTTTCTAAACCGCTGAACACTGTGATCTTCAGCCTGCACAATCGCACTGCTTTCCTTGACATGGGACCGAAACATTCTGTAGGTATGCCCATAGAGGGCTTCAGCATATTAGGTGTGGCCCTGGACAACAGAAAATAAAAGGACAGGTTGCCTAAAGAGTTTTAGTCAATGGGAAAACCGCACTGAATGCAGTTCCCGTATATTCCAAGTACAGCTTTTTACAAACACTTATTTCACATCCTTCACCAGTGTTTAGGCAGGACTTCCTACCTCACTGAGAAGGTAGGTAAAATGAAAACAAACACTGAAGATCTAACAGGATTTCACCCAAACATCATCCAGCCACTGAACAAAGTGAACAGTCTACATTTACAAATGCCCTTGCATAAACAACCAGCAAGCCACACTGTAAAGATCGTTTTTCCTCCTTACATCACAACCACAGGAAAGCAAGCAGAAACCAGCATTTCAGAAAGCAAAGAATTTAAGACTCATAATCAGTGACAGCCAAATTATGAGGCTACCTCCCCTTTTCGCCTGTGTAACACACCGACAGGCAGTTACTACAGACAGTCCAACCCGAACTACTTCCTAAGAGCAATTGCATCTCACACACACTTCCTGCCTGATAAGGATGGAACAATTCAGAACAACTCCTCTGCTGGAGGACCACACCAAGGGCAAAAGACAAAGCTATGATTTATTTTCCAAAATTC